TACCCCAGACATATGCTGATGCGCGTCGTCTATTCCGCCGCTAACTGCGATGATTGACGTGTATCGATTTCGTCTTGCTGGCCTCGATTGATGGCGAAGGTGACCCCCATATTGAAGCCCTCCTCTGTTCTACTCTATGAGACGTGAACATCAATAGAAGCAACTTGTGCCTTCTATGCCCCTGACTTTCGTGTCTCTCAGTTTCATCTGCTTGCTGTTTCGTCAACTGACCTGCTGTTACACCGCTACTTGTTTAATATTGTTACCCCAAGAGAAGATCACTAACTGAGCTAACTAACAATCTGAACACTTAAGACCTATTACCCCACACCTGTAACTCTATGCCGTGGTGGCACCGGCGGTGCTATTAACGTTCATGGCGGCATTGATCAGGATACACCATGCTAATAGCTTTAATCAATTTACTCCCCTATGAGAAACTGAGTCTGTTGTTGGCAAGATCAGAACTGATAGCTTAACTGGAGAAGTTGGCAAGAATAAGAATATTACGCCAGCTATATACATAGCGAGATAGATTCAATCAGAACATATTCAATGTTTTATGTTAAATCAATAACAGACGCGTGTACATATGAGCCCATGAAACTGAATAAGCTTGTAACTGTATGAAAAAAGGGCAGTACATTATTATAATTTTGTCATTCGGGTTTAACAACAACTTATCTGCGTCACGTTTGTAATGCCAGTACATTGTTCTATATATTTTGATATTGCTGAAGTATAGAAGAGTGCAGTAGAGCTCTCATCCATCCCACACTGTCTGCCATATTCTTTCGAATTTGTCTATTACCCAAAGCATCGCATAGGACACAACAAAAGTAAAATTAACGGATTTATTTCCATAGCCTGTTACTCGTTCAGCTCTCACAACTACAAAACGTCCTCGAAGCTCATAAACGAAAGCGTTGCTTTTTGCCAATGCAATCACTGCTTGGCCATTTTACTTTTACGAAATCGCATCTTTAAATCGACGCTTATGGGGCACTAACAGTCAGTGGTCTCTTCGACTGCCACAACGCTCTAATGACGACGTATGCGGTCAAGACTGGCAGAAGCGTGTATGGACGTTAAGCTGAATGGTGGCTTTTTGAAAAATATCAGATAGATGCTTCTAGCTATAATCTGATGTATAGCTATTTGGGATATTTCGTATCGACAGTGCAATGCATAGAATTCGAAATTACCGCCAGTGAGAGAAATACCTCATCCTTCGAATCGGCTGTTTTCCATTTGATTTTCGGCCCATATTTGGAGCATTCTGAGGATCCATCAACCGAGCAATACTAGTAGTTTCATTGCACTAGTGAATTTATGCCAATTGACACTCAAACGCTCCACCCTGGTACAATCAAGCATAACAAGGCGACTTCACAGGCGTTCGAGTGATCTAGAAAACAACTAATACCTTTAAATGAAGCCTACCTGACCGCTTGCGCACCCCCCCACCAAACACAACTATACAAAATAGAACAATATGATTTCGTTCTTTCAAAGACAACATCTAGATGTCACACTGCGACATTAGAAATAGTCGAAAACTTTGACCAGAACGTCCAGCCACAAGGCAACGCAGCTATACGAGGGGATTCGTAGCTTTTGTTTGTTGAAGATTGAATCAATGCGAATCGGCAACACTGAGAAACGACTGAGGATGAATTTAATTGACGAACTCTGCGGTGTTATTAGGGGCGACCATAAATTAATTGGGTGTGACTTTCCCCGTAAAGGCTACGGTATCTGCAGGCGATTCCGATAGATATATATGGCGCTAAATCGGGTAACAGTAATACCAGTGAAACCTGTCGTCCTTGCCTCCGGATCAGTTCATTTTGCTTTAGCTGTCGACCAGAGTTAGCTTGCCCGAGCAAGTCAAAGGCTGATTAAAGAAGAGACCTTAGTGTTAAAAGGAGTAAGGAAACTTTCCTATCGATCGAAGAACTAAACTTAGATAGGCATTTACAACAGAGAATGGGCTTACTGAATGGATAGAAAGCGAGTCCGAGCAAAAGCAATAAGCCAGAGTTGGGATATGAAAGAACCCAAAACTAGCAGTAACGGCATTGGTGTATTGGCCGGCTGCAGGCAACACGGCACCTTTGGTTATCTACGTTCGACTTTCGTCTTCGTGCTTTTCTTGTTTTTCTTCCCATTTGAGTAAAAACCCTTCTTCGTCCGCCAGTTTCAGGTTGGCTGCTCCATGGCCGGTTCATCATAACGAGCAAACTATATAATCTTCTGCAGCTCCTGCCACCACCCCATCGCCGTCCTGCTCGCTCACCCATCGATCCTAGATCACTCGCCACTACTACCCACCCGCGCGAACGGGTGAGACGGTTGAGTGCACCCCCTTATCTCAGAGTCACACCCATTCTCGCTACTTTCAACTAAGGCAGGATAGTCGAACACACATGCAGGCTCATCAAGGACTAGTCGCCACCAGCTCAAAGCGATTGCCGGCTGACGATCTATTGCTTGAGCTGTGCTGTTGTGGTATGTTGTCTCACTGCTCGGCTGAAGGTCTAAATGCAACAGCAGCACGAGGTCATAGTCAAGGCTTTTCGCCCACCCCCACTGCCGCCCCACCGAATAAAATAGACCCCACTGGAGCTGCTGTTTAGGCAGAAATGATAGCGACGATGAGATTGCACCAGTGAAGCTCCAGCTGGTTTGTTGTTTCGTTGCTAGTGCTACCGTTGCTGCTGGCGTTTTGGTGCACGTTGTAACAACAATATGACTATCATCTCGTCAACAACGACAACAATAGCGATCGTAGGAGCAAAATCAGCCCACGGCTTCAGCCCTACCCCGCCAGGCGGTGGGGCCACCTCGTGACGTCGAAGCAACAATAGCAGCCTAGGCCCGCGACCGTTTGCCTTGTTCGCCTTCTTCTTTCAGATCTATGGCTACGTGCGTAATCGGCCGCTTCGTTACTTGGCCATTTGCTTCGTTGCTGTTGATTGTCGTTTCGGTACTGGGCTAACGGGAGGGAAGAAGATGACTACTCAGACAGGGGCGAGATCTGGATGGAAACCACCACAGCTTGATCTGCAGGCTGCCCGTTCGATACAGCCTTCGATCACAGCTGAACAAGAAGCAACAGCAAGCAATAACAGGACCAGAAGCAGGACATCGAAGCACCTCTCTGACTGGTTTGGCTAGCTTTCGAAACTAACGTCCGTTCTGAATCTGTTCTCCTGCCTGCGTCCTACACACTGCATGTTCTAGGCGGTTGCCGTTAACCGGATCGGGAACGAAGCAAGCGAACCAATAAGGTGATGTGGTGGCGGGTTTAGAACCGTCCGCACCCCTCGAACCTCTGCCGTCGGCAGCGCTGTAGACGATCAACACGAACAATGAAGACTGACTGATAGGTAGAACGAGCGAGAATTGGCGGACAGACCCTAAGCCGAAGTCGACGGAGAACCAGAGCAGCTCGGATCAAAGTCAGGCGCAGGAGCAAGCACAGTTGATATCCTGCGATGCGTTGTGCTCAAGTCGAAACCTGCTTAAGGTGCACAATACATCAGTAGTCATACTGTTTCGAAACTAACGATGAAAACGGAAAAAGTAAGGATAGTTCAGGGCTAAAGAAAGAGAAGGTCGAGCGAGGTCGAACTAATATATAACTCAGACTCTTCGATGCTACTATGGCCCCAAACAGATAATATGGCACTGCCGTGTCCGTGGTTTTATCGAGGACCCAATAATAGTCGCACTTTGGTGACAAAACAGGCGAAAGATCGGCCCCTCATTCGCCGCTTCGCCTGAGCTCTCTATTTCATTTTACTTGATCTTAGCCTTCTTGTTCTGATCGTCTCTGTCCCGTAAGTTTTTTTGTCCGCCTGACTGCCCGCCATTCCGGAATAGTGGAACAGCAACTGAGCGGCTAAGACATACAGGCTACGAAGCCCCTCACATCCCCCACTCAGCCTGAGTACTCGGTCAGACTGAAAAGTGGTCGAAGATAGGGCAGACATCATTTTGGTCAGCTCGTGCGCAGGTGCGACGTACTCTATCCTTTCTCATGTTGGAGAGGACTTGAATCTTCTAACTAGACTAGACTGTCTATTAAACAGAGCATATGCGCTCCATCCGATAAATATCGGAGAGAAGCAATGAACATGATCGGGCAAGTGTTACGACCCGGGCGTTTACAAGCATGATGCTCGTGAAGCGTTTCACTGGAGAGGGACTAAAGGTTAATCTTGCTGCTACGTATATTGGATGCGTATGACAATTGGCTATAGTGGTTTGTTCCGTGCCTTCTCGCGAATAAAGTCCCGTGCGAACCCAATGGAAGAATAGTAACAACTTGAACAGATTTGTTTCTCATTTAGCGCCACTGTGTCATGCAAATATGCACGGGTACCAGCATGTAAATAGATCTAACCTATAACAAGCTATAGTCTATAATTATGTAGTGATTTATTCCGACGTTTTTATGTACGATATGTTACTTTCATGGACGGAAATAGGAGTTGCAATGAGTAAGCCTCATGACCGACTGCCAGGAAGACTCAATAGAAACCACGCACACACGCAAATGCAAATCGAACAGTGCACATAACGATATACAGCTAGCCATTTTGCAATAATGTCAATTAGCGAGGTGCAAGTGGGTAGGGATAACGGTATGACAACGGAGTGTGGGAAGGTGACAGTTAGCGACTTCTTGGTCACGGTTTTATCACGATGAAAGAAAGACGGATGCTGTGCATAATGTTTATCCTACTACTAGGTAGAAAGTGAAATTTCGATTTTACCGTTTGTTAGTTATAATTGGCTGTGTCTCAAGCATCTTATCTCATGAACGTGGATAGGTTCCCGATCAAGTAGAGCCTACTTCGACTTACTACTTGGAATCACACTAGTAATGATAAAAGTGGTACTGTATTAAAACACTGGGCTAGAAGAGACCTATTCAGTGGGTATCGGTAATCCTGTACACCTGGTAAACTGTATTCCGGTTATTTTCTTACCTTCGTCAAAAAGCCATTCAGTCTGTGTGGAGACGGAATGATGATCTTCAAGGTCTTGAAACACATCTTCGTAGTCTTCATCATCCTCGAAGTCTAAAAAGTGGTCTCTCATTTCATTGCGGTTATCGGCTTCATCGTCATCATCGTCGTCTTGAACAACGTCCCCAGGATCGCGAAGCGGACAGCTTTGAGGACGACAAGGTTTAGGGTCGTCGTTGTCCTCGACGGTGTCATCCGACGGTGTTGACTGCCGTGTACTTGGTATTGGAATCGCGCATGAGCGCCTGTCGCACAAATGAATTAATCGACGATCAGTTAATCATTGGAATAATTTACTGAAAAAAGAAAACTGATAATCTGAAACAGTAATTGCAATATAATGATCGCATAACAAGGGATACAATAGCCAGAGACAAAAGTTGGGATCTATGGGTCGAGCTGTGTAAAATATAAATGGGCAAACTTAATTTTAGCATCACAATTCTGCGCGTCTGTTTTTTTAACAACGAGATTTTAATGAGGTTCTATGGCACTCTTACCTGCCACAAAAGGCATGTTTGTTTATTTGTTCTGGGCAATACGTACGTACTCATTGTACAGTGTCAGACGAAATAGAGTGCTCTCCATAGTCTAAAACGTAATGTCGAAATACTCAATGTGTTTCATTTTGTCGTTTGTTATATAAAGATTGACATGTTAACTCACTCAAGTCAGGGAATTGGCAAGGTTTGCGTTCACGCTGGCTTTGTTATTATTATTAACGGGTTCCCCTATGTAATTATTAACGACCATCCGATTAATGCCAGCTCGGCTAGAGGCTGATAAATACAAAGACAGGTAGTGATAATAGTGTTACCAGCGTCAACCATGACCTGCTATGATAGCGGTGGATATTGAGACAATGGAGAGGCTTTTGCCAGCTAATTATATTCACTCAGGTTTGCCTTAAACCTTTCTCCGTGTGCTGCTTTAGGAATAATACTGTTCTGCTTATTTACTATGACTATTTGAGTTGTTTGTTTAGTTTTAATAGATATGATTCTACATTTACTAGTACTCCCATGTACCGTACCATAGTCACTCTTCAATCAACATTTTCCCCGTCTTTTAATTGGCAAGCGAACTACATCAATTTTGCTTTGTACCGGAAGTCGACAAGGAAACCAAGTCTACTGTACCGTTAGCGCTGTATATCCATCAAAGGCAAATAACGTCTAAAATGGCTGGTTCTCAGTAGTAACGAAGCTGAACATTACGAGTACTATAATCTTCACCATCATCACCACCAGCGGCGGCAGAAGTTTGATGAAAAACTGCTTATCCCTGCCATCACCTGTAATGCACCTGTCTGCCGCGGTCGGTCTGCGTGTATCTCTGACTGAGTCTACTGGTAAATATAAGAGCGTAATAATTCCTTTGTGTTCATCTGTCCAATTTTTGTTTGCTACTTCTGCTGCTCCCTCATTTCCTTTTGTTCAGCGGGGCGGCATGACTGGCTCATCCGAGAAAGGTAAGCGTATCTGGAGACAAAAGGTGTAGGAAAAGCACGTAACAGCAACGAGCAGCGGCCGCATCAGAGGAACACGTGAACACGAGACAGGATGATAGCGTTGTGTGTTAATGATATTGTTTTTTGTTGTCGATGATGATGATGCGTTCGTAATGTTGGCGACGACAACATGGCTCTCAGAAGCTGTTAAGAATAGAAATGCTCCGACACTCCCCGCAACAAACCTCCGTTCGATTTCTGTTCGCGCCGCTCACGGTGTTAAGGCTTTGTTTACTAGCTTGGTTAGTGAGAGTTGTGCAGATTTGGCTAGAGTGATAAAAACGAACCCGTCGTTTAGGTTGGAGGGGGAGTCCGGCCCGGTCCAGTCGACGATGACTAACGCCCGGATACGAAACGAAGGAAGCCAAAGAAAAAAAATGGTGGGGTAGAAAAAGAAAAGGAAGAGCCTGCGGAGAAATACGAGCTCCTGCTGACGCTACTCTTGGGGCAGGTCTAGGCGAAACGCTGTTGAAATGGGCAAACGAGTAGACCGTAGGTGGAGATAGTTAGGAGCGTTGCTGTCCACACCCGACACGCTCTTTATCGGCCTTAGCAGTCGAAACCAAGTCAGGGGCTATTACTTGCCCTGCCGCCCTGGCCCCTGGCGGCCGCACTGACTTGGATCACGCGTAGAAAAAGTTTGACGGTTTACTATATATTCTATTACAGTTGGACGGCGTTCGCCGGATCAGATCAAACGCACAACTTTCTTGTACGCCTGCCTTCCTAGCCCTCGATCCGATGTAATCCGATGCTTTTGTTCCTGCTCTGTTGAAGGTTCGCAGGTACTTTTCCTACTTTTCGTTTGCCTACTTGCTGTACTTCGCCTTCTAGAAGCACAAGAAGAAGGAAGCGAAGGTGCGCGGAAAAAGAAGAAATGGCTGTAATTTTGGAGACGCTGACGTAGGACATTTAGGCGATAGAGGCGGGCAGGGGCGAGGTGGTAGAAACCACGCTCAACATTTAGCCTAATGGGAAAAAGATGTAAATATCTTTTGAGGACAAGATAAGGACCAAGTCGATTCGTTTGCTTTCTTGGAACTCAACACTGAAGAAGAGATTCGTTTTTTGCGAAAGGAAAATGTATATACTATATTGACTAGTAAGCTCTGAACAGGTAAAGAGCTGCGTTTGTCAGTCTGGCTGGCTGGCTGGCGACATGGTGGGGGGGGCAAGAGAAGAAGAAGCCCCAAGCAACGACACCTGTTTTGTGCTAGTGAGATGAATCCTCTTTTAAATCACAGACATCTACACCTAGACCCTGAGATAGAAAGACCCTGGGATATACTTCAGAGGAGAGGTGGCAGCGTAATATTATTACCACTGTTTAACTTTTTCTACTGTTCGTCTTTTTTTTGCGGGAAATGCTACCTATCTACAAATCGTGTCGGTAGCACAGGGGAGTTTGATTATATCAAGGAAGAGATTCAGACTGACATGCATATGCGGGAAAAGGAGCCAGGCACCAGAGAAGTCCGATAAGAAAGAGACGTCGCTAAGTCTCGAACTTGGGCTCCAGTCTTACCGCTCCGTAGTAAACGTTTAAATGGATAACCAAATATAGTAAATAAGCAGAATTATTCATCTATGGCACCGTTTCCAAGTCCGCAATGTGGCCCTATTTATTAATCGTTATGAGTAGATTTGGAATCGACATAAATTGAGAGTTACTTAACTAAATAACAGTCGAGTGCACATCTGCCATAACAAACTGGATTACGATACTTCATTTAACATTTGAAAAATCAAGATCAGTAAGTAACCTTAATGAATCAACTTACGGTGTAGATGGAGCCGACAGAAACGACGGTGGATCATAGAAAACATCATCGAGGTCTTCCTCTTCAAGGTCCTCCACGGGCGGATATTCAAAGCTCCGTTCTACGGCAAAGTACGCTGGGGAGGGTTCGTATCCAGAATCGGTGTCACATGAGCATGATAATGAGCAGTTCTGGCCTTGATAGCCCTGATTGTTTAGCAAACCTTGGCTTTTCGGTGGGCCAGTAACAGATGAGGGGCCGTTGCGAGCGACGCAAAATGTTGGGCACGCCATCTGCTTGGGCCCGTCCAGCCTAAGTAGCCACTCCGGACCGTCTTTCGAGTTCTCTCGTCTGCTCAGTACCTTACAATCCAGCGTTCCTCTAGATCCAGCCATTCTGCAATGATCAAAATTGAGAATAGGTACGTCAGTACCACTTGAATAATAATCAGATGACTCAAAAGTAGAAAAAAACACCACAAACAAATTGTTAGTAGACGATCAGTAGCGTTATCCACTAAACACAAGTAGAATCTCGGATTATACACACAAAATCCGCGTGTAAGGTTTGTTTTTCACTTGCATTATAGGACTTTGAAGACTATACTTTTTGTTGACACAATCGGCGATTTTTATATGCATCTCCAGTTCTCACTGCTCCACCCTAAAAAATTACACAGCTTGATTATATCTCTTATCTCGTGTCTTTCATTATCACCTTATATTACCCATTAGGCTAGAGACCTGTCCATTAGCAAAAAAAAATAGACGGAACAAACAATCCTATACAGTACAATGATAAACTTACACCGCTGATGTCAAAACGCATGCGGGGTTAGAAATCAACTAATAGCCCTTAAGCAAACGAGATAAAAGTTGGGGCAATGGAGGGATTATTGGTGAATGGAAGAGTCGTCACGTGAAGGCGACATAGTAGGACAAAAGCCGGTTTTGGATTCGCGATATAAAAATACTGCTTTTCCTGCTGATCTGTTTGTCATCGTTGTCTATGATTTAGCGGTGGCAAGCCTTTGGTGTCGACAGTATTGGCGACGCATCGATCCCAGCGACATGTATGTCCGCGCTTAAGAACAGCTAGCGCTGTTTTTTTCAGTAAATCTAACGCGTACGCCCTTAGAACGATGTCTGCTACTGGGTACGAATAGGGACGACCAAGCTGTAATTTAACATGATTTTCTATGTTGATTGAACAGATAGCGTCTACTTACGTACGTGTGCGTAATACAAGCGTGGACGCCAGATGATGCGTGCATGTTCCTATTTCAGTTGACGTATTTGCATTTGGGGTGTTGATTGGGCATTTGAAAAGTAATAATTTTTGTAATTTGGACTTGATATTTGATTATTTTATTGCCGTTATAGCTATATAGGTGTGTATCTCTTATTACTTACATATCATATGATGGCATCTCACTACACTTGTATATCGTATATCACTATGGGTACCACAACACAACAATTAAGTTATTAACCGGTAACGATTTGGGGTTCGGTCCTTTTCTCTATGAAAAGTCTGTGTTCAGAATCGGTGCCCGTTGTTAGAGCTTTTGTTCCCGATTCTGCCGAAACATCAGAGTCAGAGTTCCTCTCCGAGCACAACTACTTGTAGACACGCAGTGAAACTAACAATGCTTAATATGGCACAATATTCTAGAGTAAGTTTGCACGTTTCAAATTCAATTCTCGTAAACAAAAAACAGCAATTCTTGTTCTTCGATCAGAACCCACTTCGAGGTAACGCAAGAGTCAACGACTGTAGACACGAAAACTTCGATAGCTTCTGCTGCTGTTGTTCTTGCCGTTGTGCTAGTGGTTTTAAAAGGGCTGCCGCTGGTTAGTCTTAAGTTCCTGCTACGTCTTACTCCGATGGGTGTATCCAACAAAGTGAACGGTGATGCCCCGCTCTGTCCGATCTTGACTCACTCAGACAATTTCTCCACTCCGGCCACCGTTCGCTATTTGACTGGCTCGCCCCGCAATTCGCCAGAGCAAGGGGTCTGGCTAGAAACTCTTCGAGTTCGAGTAGCTCCGCCTACCACCCACTCTCTTTCTCAAGCACCAAGAGCGGCCTGGCGGGCCGGCTGCGTCTCCAGCTCGTTCGTATGGTCGTCCTCTTCGTTGGCACCTGATCCCCTCTGAACACCAAGCTAACCTTACGATAGGCAATGGCTTCGTTTGGATTAATGACGATGATACCATACGTATTCTTAAAATGTGTAAGTTAAATGCACCTTTAGTATGTCAAACTGAAGCTCGCTTTTCAGGCACGAGATTCGATAGATTTGTTTTAACCCTATTTAATTACAAACGGAAACCAAGTTGCCGTTCCGAGTCGCCATTCGCACCTGATTCTAAGGATTTTCTCGTGTCTGCCCCGAACTTCGAGGTCACTTCTCATTCTTTGGCGTCCTCCTGCCATAGACACACAGACACACACATTTAGTAGAACGGGTGAAGCTATATCAGTTTTGCTCGCTGTCCTGTCGCTCCCTGTTGCGGTGACCAGCAGCGGCGGCCCTGCAGAGTCTAGCTAACTGTAATAGCTAGTTGGTACGTAAACTTGGGCGCGTACAGTGTCGCCAGCGAGAGAATAAGCCCTAGAGGGCTAACTCTCTCCTGTTGCGCTTGCACGATGCCGTGCGATTTGCCGTAGGTCTACTATGACGTCATGCTGTTGTCGATGCGCGACCGGTTGTTTGTCGCTGTTGCTATTGTAGCGGATGCTGTTGCTAATGGCAATGATGACAGCTTCGTGTCCTAACGAGCGTGAGACGTTGGTTCGCGACTGCTCGCGATGGTGTCATAGGCCATTGTGTGACTTGCGAGTTGTCTCGCAACGGTTCTCGTTGTGGCCTGAGCGCGCACAGGCGTCGAACCGCGCTTCTAATTCGCCGCCGGACTCTAATACTGGAGACAGCAGAGTTCGCGGAAACGAAAACAGGCGAATTAGCGCGCTGTTTTCAGATCTAACTACGGAAAGCTTCGGCTTACAGGATACAAACTTCTGCTTGAGCTGCCGACCGACTCTTAGTTGCAGCACGAGCAGTAACGACGACAAGATAGACCGGCAGAACTAGCCCAAAGTGCAACATAATGAGCCAGCTGCGATGTACGAAACAAATCGGCTCTAACGAATGGGTGATGGTTGGCAAAAGTTGTATAAAAAGCCAGATAGCTTTCGTTTGACAACACCAGTCGGGGTGACGCAATCAATGTTCTTGGAAGCAGCTGGGACGTACGATTACATTATGCAAAACTGTATCAGAAACAGTTTTAAGGAGAATCATTTAGAAGACCTTTTCATTTTCTAAGGGATATTCTACTATGAAAAGAACGTGCGTTTGAATTATAGTTAGACAGGTTGTCGCCAATGTTATAAGCAGCTGTGTGCTATAAAAGCAAACAGATATTTTTCGAAGTTGATTAGTTAAGCTAAAATTGAAAGTAGCTTTTCTCAAGCTGTACAAGCTTTGGGGTGCGGGGGTGCGTGCGTTCAAGCTGTCCAGTCTAGGCTAGCTGTGATTCCACGCTGTCGAAGAAGCCATCTGTTACTCTCAACGAGCTAAGCCAAGCCTTAGCATTATAGGGGATTACACGCTGACCAAGTTTCGATCAGCAGTGGAATAGCCGGAGTCCGGAATTGACCAATACTTCCGATCGTTTTGCTTTTAGGAGCCGTGCGGTCTTTATCCATAACGTCAGCGTCGTTCGCTCGCCCAAGATATCGAATGAGGGTGACACGAAAATGAAATGTCGCCGATGTTCTGTGCTGTGTTTCAATTTAACCTTCATACATATTGGACTGATATATATCTTTGAACAGCAGAAAAGAGCGCGTATTTCTTATTGTTGATGACGAATACCGCCTACTCTCGCGATCGCCTTATTTGCTACCAGCGATGGCAAAGAAACGGGACTGACCTCGTTATTGTTATCACAACGAAAACTGTGTTTCGTCGCTGATTTCACTGTGAACAATTCTATCTGTATACACACACTCGCGGTTTATCTAAACTGTTACTTTTGGTCGTCCAACTCAAATAAATGTCCTGATAGTAAGCCCGTAATATAAAACGCTTTATCTTTCAGCTTTTTTTTTTTTTTTTCGGTCTCTAAGCGTTCCGAGATAGCTGATTTTTTTCCTTAATCTTGTAGCGTATCTAGAGATATATATATATATATATAGTTGTCAATATGCCTGCGAGTGTTTTAACAGATTGAGTTCAACTAAATTTTGAAAGAGCTGGTACTGATTCGAAAAACAAAAATGTGTTGATAAGGCGGCCCGCGGGGAGACGTTTAGCAAGTAGTATGGTTTTATTGATGGAACATTTGGTGGCCACGGTTACCGTTAGCAAAGTTCATCGGGACTTTTGGTCTTTTCTAAACGCCTAACTGACTAATAAAATCTATGCATTCGTCAGCTTCATCATACAAAGCTTTTAACGCGTGCCAACCAATCTATTGGGTTTTGCCTCTGGGTGCTGAGTCACAAAAACAAATGATTGGACATATATCCATTTTGCTATCTGTGGAAATGACTACAATCTATCTGGCCAAATATTGACTACATCCGAAAAATTAACTTGAAAAATTAGCTACAGTTACTTGTCACAGCTATCCTATATCTGCAGCGTGTGATGTACTCATTTGCCGTGTCGGTTGGCACTGCGAACGTCGTCGTGTGGTACTCGCTTGTCCCAGGACAAAGCACCCGGCCAGACAAATGCCCAACGGGACACGCATTTCGCGTCCGCCTTCTTTAGCATGACGCATCGCATTGGCCCTCAAACCTCGATGACCGCACTTGTTCTCATGTGTTGCAGTCATTCACGTTTTGTCGACGACTTTGATGAAACGGCGAAGTACACGTTTGCTAACAGAATCTCCAAAACAGACCCCCGGCTAGTGATGACGAGGAGACGGCAGCCTTCGTGTCACGTTGACCAACATTACTATCTGCATCAGCAGTAACTAGGATTAAACAAGGAGCGGGTGAGGGTCGTCGTCTGCGCTGCTGCACTTTACTGATCGGTCACCTTTTACGGCAACGTTCCATCATTTTCTCCCATGTTCCTTCTGCTAGTGCTGTTAGGTCTGCTTTGAGTTTCCTGTCGTCGTTGTCGTTACTTTCGCACGTTATAGCCGCTAAGGTGACGCTAAGGTAGTACCCCTTCAAGTTTACAAATAAGTGACCATGTGTCGACAGCCAGCGAATTTAGCTTATACAAGTGTCGGCTGAACTGCCCAGCAAATTTACCAGAAGAGACTCTTTTGGCGGACTGACCGGAACAGCGGCATCAAATAGCCCTCTTCCAGTTGCGCTCGATTTGTTGAACAATAGAAACAGCGGCGGCAGTCTTTGTTAGGCGGCATAAGCGCCGGAAGGAATACCTGCGAACAACTTTTATCGGCTCTCACAAGCCTAAATTCTGTCACGTAATTATCATATCATTCACACATCATATAGAAATCATTTCCATGACCATCATTATTATTGTTATTATTACAGGTTTCGCCGGCTAGTGCACGTTGGCCCCATTGAGAACCAGCTAACGAACATTTCTTCGAAGTTCCACTTCAAAAGAGTAACTGTACATTGTATCCTATGCCGTGTTCCAATGTTTATGTCGTGTTCTTATGACCGTGTCTCTGCGCATAAGAATACGACTTTGTTAGTGACGCCACGAGACAACAGAGTTACTTGTTCTGCAGTCCCTACGGCACAAACATAGACCCATACCATTACAAAACTACCCGTTAACCGCTACGTATGGTTATCATAGTTACCGGTAGCATCCAATTGCTTCTCGTATACGTTTCTGTGTACTTGTGTATGTGAATTATTTTTTATAGTTTATCGTGTGCTGCATCAGGCCATACTACCGCAGAATCGTTTGCCTGTGTAAGTGCGCCACAGCGAAATGGACATAAGGACACCGGAATACACAAGTGAAACTAGAGCACACTAAGGCGAAACACCTTTGTGTTTGTCAGCAGCTTCGAAGATCAGACAGTCGAAGAAAGCATCTGGCACCAGTCAAACACAGCCATCAGCTTCTGCGTGCTGGTATAAGGCGTAGCATCACCAAGACATTATCATCTATCTATCTATCTATTTACTAAATAATGATGCTGTTGCCGTAATCGCTATTCCAATCAAATCATCCGATGATCAAAATTGGCTGGCAGCGAGAAAGGGAGGGCACGGTGGCGATCGGTGAGGTAGCTTGTATTGAGGTTGCATTTATTTCGAAAAAGTTTCCCTATGCAGTTGCAAAGTTTGCAAAGTCAAATTGAACCCAGTCAGATACCCATTTGGATCGCCCACTTACATGCATTGGAAGGGGTGCAAAACAGTCACATTGTGCAGATTTCCGTGCAGTGGCTATCATGCACTTGTCGAATGTTGGTTTTGACGACCAGCTCAGCCACGTATCCTTTACCCTTTACAGCAATGCTTTCAATGTGCCTAATTCAATAATCAGTCTAGCTTGTAGTTTCCCGGCACCTATGCGTACTTCTCGGTCTGTTTATACATAAGCCTAGTCCGAGCGATCGAGTCTTGTAAAATCCTAAATGGACTATTACGGCTTGTCCTTACACCCGTACACTTCTTAAAGAAATTCGCTCTAATCATGTATCGTACCTTACAGACACCTATTGCTACCCATCAGTACATTCAGTCAACAGTCTGTGTTACACCTGTTCACCCGTATACCAGTAAATCTATGGCGAATGGATCGCATGACGACAGCGTCATATTGGAATTTATAGAGTCTGCCAGTGATAGCAGTAGCAGCGGTAATGGTGAGGACAGAAGCAATGTGCATTTGAACTTGTTGTTTATTTATTTTACCTCTCGTTCTTTCGGCCCTCGCTCGTTCCCTGCCTCGTTACGGCCGTTATCTAGTCATTCAGTCTGTCAGCTGCAAAATATATATGATGCCACCCACCGTGGCAGCCCTAGCGACAGCATAAGTGTGCTCTTGGTTACCCCATCCCGTTGTCAGTCCGTATTTCTCTCGCTAAGCGCCGAAAACCGATGACTTTTCAGCAATGATGACATACAGATCACTACAGTCAGAACGACGACGGCAACCGAAGCGACAATGGACGAATGCGAGAGCGGCGTTTACCAATTGGCGCTTGGTCAACCCGCCAGTTAGAGCGACCCACATACAAACACATAGATACACTCATTGATTGAATCGGTAGACACCACCGGCCGTTAGGATCTCAACGGAATCTACCGCTTTCCGTTGCTTCTCCGCTTCGGAGTCGTTTAAACAATAAACGAAAAGATTATCCTGTAATGGCAGCCGGTGAAAAAACAACGGCGATAAGAGAAATAGTAGAAAAGACTGGGCAGCCGGCAAAGGAACTTGTTTGAGGTATTCAACACTGCCTCTTTTAACAGAGCAGCTCGTCGCTGCTGTC